CACGGAATACTGTTCAGCGGGTTTGTATGGACTGGGGCAGCGGGGGTGCGGGGGCGCGGGCGAGGGGTGGGGATTATTTTGTTTTGGGCCAAGTTGCTCTACTTGCAGATCTTAGTTCTCCCATCAGGAATTGAACTGGAGCCCTCAGCAGTGAAAGCACAGAGTTCTACCCACTGGACCGCCAGGGAATTCCCACTGTACAACTGTTTTAAAAAAAAGCCAAAACTGACCTCCGCTGAGACCCAGTCATGTAACAAGCAGAAGAGTTATAGTCTGTGTACATCTTTTAAAAATTGGGACTGGGGGAAACTTTTATCCAGATATCTCTGAAGGAAATCCTAATCACAGCGGTGGCCCCTGGAAAAGGAATCAGGGATCTAAGGATCAGTGCGGGGAGGAAGTGTCATGTTCCTTTGTATTATTTCAGTTTAGTAGCTCAGTCGTGTCCAACTCTTTGTGACCCTATGGGCTGCAGCACACCAGGCTTCCCTGTCCATCACCGACTCCCGGCACTTGCTCAAACTCAAGTCCACTGAGTCAGTGATGCCATCCAACCATCTCATCGTCTGCCGTCCCCTTCTTTTTGTAGAGTTTGCGTTTTAAAACTCACGTGCATGTGTTGCCTTTAATTAAAATTCGTCTTGAAAAATGTCTTAAGAGGCTGGTGTAAGGAGCCCTTGAAACTCTGATCCCCTCCTCAGGCAGTTCTGCTCATAATCTCCCACTCCCGCCCACCTTGGAGGTGGCTTTAAGGGCCTTTACTGGGAGAGGGTCCACCTAGAGGGAGAATTGGACCCCATCCCTCGCGCCAAAGGAGGCGGTGAGGTTGAGAGAAACGAGTCTTAACAGTTTTGTTCCGCTACCGACCGCCAGGAGTCGCCCCAGTCTTCAGACCTAGTTGTTGCTGGCTGAGGGCCCAGAACTTGTGAGGCTGGAAGGATGGGTCTGAGACACGCTCCCCCTCACCCCACCCTCCGCCTCCGCCCCCTGCACCCCCTCCAACTCTGGCGTAAATCCAGAAGTGAGCAGGAAACAGCTTCTCCTTCTGGAGTCAGCTAGGTCTTGACACTGGCCTCGCCTTGTCTGCCGCCTCAGGGATTTAAGACCCTTCACTGTGCAGCTGTGGGGTCCAGGGCTGATCCACACAAAGGGTTGGACTCAGCGCTGTATACGGAACCTAAAGTATTATCATTATTATTCACTTATTCTGCTAACCTCACCTTGGTCATAAGTGCCAGATGGCTGAAAATCAGCTCCAGGGAAACGGGGAGCCACGGGATGTGTGTGAGCAGAAAGGGAACCGTCAGATCTGGTGTCAGACAGAGTTGGGAGAAAAGAGGGAGGTGGAAGGCTGGTCCCCTGGGGAGGCCAAAGAACAGGGAGTGGATGAGAACTGGGGGCATCTGGGAGAGAACAGACCCCAATCCCAGGCCAGGACTAAGAACCCCCTGGCTGTCCTGCCTCCCAGACCTCATATCCCTCCCAGTCCACAGGGCCGGCGCCCCCGGCCTGCCCTTGCTCTGTGCTGTTTCCCTGTCTCCACCTGTCTGATTACCACTCAAGTCTCCATCCCTCTGTCTCTGTGTCCCCTCTCTCAGGCCCCTGCCCTGGCCTCCCTGTTAATAGTCACCCTGGGATCCCTCCCTGGCTGCAGAAACAGGAGTCAGTGGGGCAGCATGAGGCTTGGTGGTGAGGATGAAAAGGGAAAACCTGGGTGGAGGGCGTTGGGGACAGCAGCAACTTGATCTTGGGTCCCCAGTCCCAGGTGTTCAACCAGAAGGCCCAAAGAGGACAGGCTCTTCCCCTCCAAAGGGCACTCTTTGCCTACTCCGTCAGTGCCCAAAGTCGCAAACTTAATTTCCTTTGCAATTAACCAAAACCCGAAGACGTAGGCAAAAATGTGGAGGGTTTTCTGAACTTTACTGAAATTTTTCTCCACCAGAAGTTTCACTTCCTCCTGAACCTTCCTGAAGTTCTGTGAGAGTTTTAAAAAGAAAAAAAAAAACTTGTTCTCCTTGAGAACTTCAGAGTTCAGTCTTCAGAGTGACATGGAATTGACTTCCTTAGGACAGTTTTCCCATCTCTGACCAAACAATCAAATGAAACCATGTGGACTGTTTTTGATTTAGAAAAAAAAATTAAAATTGGTGTTGGGTTTTATGATGACCCTCCAAGGGAATTCAGAGAGATTCATACACAAAATTTCCTGTGACTATGACAAATGGTTTTCAAGAAAAAACCAAACTCTCCCATCATTTGATGCATTTGACCTCATGTGAATTCAGGGACCTCCCCACTCTGGAATTTTCTGGCCAGGAATGCAGGCAGAAAGTGTTTAAAGAGTCTGTTTTTAGAAATTTTAGACACTGCTGGCAGGGGTGTCAATGGAAACTACCTTTTTGGAGGACAAATTGATAACAGCTGTCAAAATATAAAATGTTATTGCTTCAGCACCAAGCAATTTCACTTGTGGAGATTTGATTTCAAATCTTATTCTGTTCACTGAAACAAAAAAATTTAGAAACATTCTAAGTGCCCCTTGATAATTATTATGATAATAAAATATATGTCCTGAAAACCTAAACGTGGTCAAAGGAATCAGCAATCTCAAAGTCATAATGTTGAGCAAAAAGAAGTTTCATCATTACTGTTTCCATTAAAAAAAAAATCCAACTTTTTGAAAAACAAGTTATTGGGGGGAAAAAAAAACTTATTGAAAAAGAAACATTACAAATCTAAGTTGTGAGAGCAAATTGCCAAAAAGAGTGTTATTTTTGAGCTTGACCCAAAAGACATTTGTGTGTATTTTTCAAACTCTTGTTCTTAGACTGTGACAATTGCTCCAAATTGTAGCACATTGATACCGTCAATTCTAGAGTGGCTTTTCAGTTTTCTGGGAGTTCATGGTTGCCTATCTTTTCTCTTAACAACAGATACCGTATTCATTCATACTTATGTGCAGCATCTTCAACATAAGATGAGGAATAGCCAGGATCTGAAGTTCATACCAAGACTGTAACACCTCCAGGCACTGTCCCCATTCCTGAGCTCTGAACTGGACCCTTGTCGCTCAGGCTCTCCCTGTCACAGCCCCTGGCCCCAGTGATCCCACAGGACCAGGGCAGCAGCACCTGGAGTAGTGTGTCTGGGTTCCTCAGCCCAGCGTCAGAGGCTGCACATGATCCAGCCCCACCTTTAACAAACACCACCCTTTATTAAGGCTGACCGTGTGCCAGGCACCGAGGCTCCTGATTATGGTGGCTCCACTTTAGACAGAAGACGGAGGCTCGTAGGGGGAGATGTCACTTGCCCCAGGTCATGCAGCAGGAGGCGGCGCAGCCAGAACGTCCCTCCGGAGGCCTACAGTGAGACCATGTGCTCACTCGCCTGCGTGGCCCCCATCAGTGAAGAGGAACGATCTCCTCCTCCCCCCACCCAGGGGATTCTGGGTGGGCCTGTCCAACCTAGACAAATAGCTGGTTGGGCATCACTTGCAGCCCCCAACTCTCCTCCCTCCCAGTAGTGGCTGAGAAGGGTCCGGAATCAGGAATCAATGGGTAGCTGCAAAGACCAAAGGTCAGACAGGGGTTTCCTGCCCACCGCTGGGACCTCTTCCTTCCCCACTCGACTCCTGCCTCCATGATGAACAGCAGCTTGGAGGACCCCTCCCCCTCAACAACTCTCCCACCCCATTACCCTGGCTAATAGGGGACTGCTTCCCCATGCCACCACTTTCACCCTGCTGTGCCCCCACACAGGCGGTGGACGGCAGCTGTGTTATCATCACCCACCCAGCTTCCAGCCCCCTTTCCATCTCCTTGCCTCATTCCCTTTGGCCCCGTCCCTCCCTCCTATCAGCCTTGACCCCATGGGGCTAGGGTCTGTGTCCCACTCTGTCTTGCCAAGACTGGAGACCTCTCGACGCTCCTCCTGGGGAGGGGTTCTGGTGTCACCTACAGAGGAGGTTTACCTAGAGTGCCTGTTTCGGGGTGAGGGGGGCGCGTTGGGCAGGAGGGCATACCCAGAGTCCCCTGCTCCCTGGTCCCTAAATCCCTTCCCACAGTGAAGTTCGACCCCCACTATCTTGTGCTTCCTATTCACCATCTCACAGAGCTCGAACATGAGGTTTCAAACAGGAAGTGGTAGCAATAATAGCAACTGGCAAATCTTTTCTCCCAGCCCCCTCCCCCACCCTGGGACCTGGCGCCCTGCACGGCTCATCTCACCAAAAGGGAAGCTGAGACTCAGACGTGAGAAGCCCGTCATGGGAACTCACACTGGCCCCAAGTTCACTGCTGCTTTACTTACTAAGTGCCTACATGAGCCAGGCACTGGGTGGGATGACAGCCTGGGGAGCCCATGCCACCGCTGTCCACCGATCAGCCTTCGGTGCTCTGCACCAATTACTGAGTGCTGTGTGTGCCTGGTGCCCGGCAACGCGCTCTGCACAGTTTAGCTCCTGTAATAGCACTGTCCCTTGGGGTGGGTGCACATCTGTAGCCAGCCCCCTCCAAGGGGAGTTAAGGCCAGCTCTGTGAATGACCAGAGTGAGAGCTGACGCCAGCCCCCTAAAACAGTCCTTTCTCGTCTGGGCATCTGTGTGTCTTCCACACAAGGGGGATGTTGAAAAGACGTCATATGCAGCTGAGAACAGCTCTGGGCACAGAGCAAGGGCAGAAGGGGAAACTGAGGCTCAGTAAGACCAAGGATGCCTGGCCGCTCCACCCTGTGCCCCACCCATAGTTAATCAGAGAGGCCAGACGTGCCTTGGTGCCCTCCCCCCTTCCCTTCACAGCCCGGGGTGGGAGTGTTGTGATAACCCACAGCCCCCATTTCCTCCTGGCCAGGAAGGAGCCAGGCAGAGGAAGTATTAAGAGGAGTAATATAAACACTTCCCCCTCCCCCCCGCCGTGGCAAGGTCTAGAAGGGGCAGCGGCCACCACCCTGAGCAGGCCAGCCAGCCGAGCAGCGCTTGTACAAGGGGCAGACGCTGGGAGGAGATGGGCTTGGCGACGGAGCACGGGAGCCCCTATTCACGGGCCGGGAGCAGCTCCAGGGGCTGCTGGTACTATCTGCGCTATTTTTTCCTCTTCGTCTCACTCATCCAATTCCTCATCATCCTTGGCCTCGTCCTCTTCATGGTCTATGGCAACGTGCATGTGAGTACTGAGTCCAACCTGCAGGCCACCGAGCGCCGGGCCGACGGCCTGTACGGCCAGGTGATGGGGCTCACGGCTTCCCAGGCCAACCTGTCCAAGGAGCTCAACCTCACCGCCCGCGCCAGGGATGCAATCAATCAGATGATGCTAAGCGCCCGCCGAGACTTGGACCGAATCAATGCCAGCTTCCGCCAGTGCCAGGCTGATCGGGTAAGACCGCAGGCTAGACACTCACCGTGGGGACCCCAGGCTGGTCACCTCACCTCTCTGAGCTTCACTTTCCTCATCCATGAAGACGGGGACATTTTGCATGATAAGCCCATGTAGAGAAGTGATGCGTATTTTGTTCCTATGTCTCATGCAATATTTGGGACTTTGTTGTTGTTGTTCAGTCACTAAGTTGTGTCTGATTCTGCAACCCCATGGACTGCAGCACACCAGGCTCCTCTGTCCTTCACTATCTCCCAGGGTTTGCTCAAACTCACGTCCCTTGAGTCAGTGATGTTATCTAACCATCTCATCCTCTGCGGCCCCCTTCTCCTTTTCCTGTCAATCTTTCTCAGCATTGGGGTCTTTTCCAATGAGTTGGCTCTTGGCGTCAGGTGGCCAAAGTATTGGAGCTTCAGCATCAATCTTTCCAATGAATACGCAGAGCTGATTTCCTTTAGGATTGACTGGTTTGATCTTCTTGCAGAGTATTTGGGACATACTTAGACTGAAAAAAATGATTTGTGGTCTATCTGGAATTCAAGTTGAACTGGGCATCCAGTCTGATATCAGACATAGACGCTATATACATACTTAATATGTACACAGCACCCAGAAGGTGCCAGCATACACAAGTTGCAAATAAGAGCTGACTTAATAAACCACACAGAGAGTTGAGTTCTGCATAATTAGTATGAATGGCCCAGGTCTGCCCGAGGCTGGATGTCTCCTTTGGAAATATTATTTTGTCACTGAATGCTGAGAGGTAGGGAGAAGCTTTAAAGCCCTTTTGCAGAGGGGAAATGGCCACCTGATGTGAAGAACTGACTCACTGGAAAAGACCCTGATGCTGGGAAAGATTGAAGGCAGGAGGAGAAGGGGACGACAGAGGATGAGATGGTTGGATGGCATCACCCACTCAGTGGACATGAGTTTGATTAAGCTTGGGGCATTGGTGATGGACAGGGAAACCTGACGTGCTGCAGTCCATGGTGTCGCAAAGAGTCGGACACGACTGAGCGACTGGACTGAACTGAACTGAACTGAAGAGAGGAAGTGGTTTTTGGGAGGCAGGGGAGCAGAAACAGCGCTTCCCTTGTGGCTCAACTGGTAAAGAATCTGCCTGCAATGAGGGAGACTTGGGTTCGATCCCTGGGTTGGGAAGATCCCCTGGCGAAGGGAAAGACAAGTGAGCAGAAACAGTTACCCCTGAGTCTTGTGGAGACTGTCACCCACTTCATACCCTCGGCTCCTGTCAAACTCACTCAGCAAGATCCCCTGGGGTTTCCCTCACAAGCAGTTACTCTGGGGTGGTCCAGCTCCCGGGAGACACTGAGGATAAGGATGCCTCCTCAGGCTTTGGCTGGAATGGGGTGAGAGATGGGGTGAGCAGGAGAAGGGAAGTTTGCTGGGGGATGGGGGGACAGCCTCGCTTTCCCCCACAGGAGGTCTCTGGGCTGTTTGGGGCAGGGGACAGCCCCAAATGGGAAGAAAACATCTTTCCTGGGGCTTCAAACTACCCAGTCCCTGCCCCTGGGCAGGAAGGACATGCATGCCCCACCCCCATGAAACTGCCCAGTCAAGGGCGGTGTCCCCCAGGACAGGGCAGGCCCCCCTCAGACCCACAGAATGGGGTGAGTCCCCCCTCAGAAGCTGGCTGAGGCAAGTCCCTCCTCAGACCTCAGGGCAGGACCAGGTACCCACCCAAGAGCCCACCAGGCCAGGGCAGCCCCCTCAGTTCAGGGCGGTCTTCTCAGTTCCAGGGAATTGGCTCATTTGGATCTTTCAGGACACAGATGGCCTTCCGGTCCAGGAACTGTTAGGAATCGCAGGATCGTAAAGTTTTATAGTTTTGTTTTTTCTTTTTCTGTTTTCCTTTTTTTTTTTTTGGTCCCACTGCACAGGGATCTTGAGGCTTCTCAGGAGGCTCAGTGGTGAAAAATCCACCTGCTATGCAAAAAATGCAGGTTTGATCCCTGGGTGGAGAAGATCCCCTGGAGGAGGAAACAGCAACTCACTCCAGTACTCTTGCCTGGAGAATCCCATGGACAGAGGAGCCTGGCGGGCTACAGTCCACGGGGTCACAAAGAGTCGGACACGACTGCCCAGGGGTCTTAATTCCCTAACCAGGGGTTGAATCTGCACCCCTTGCAGTGGAAGTGTGGAGTCTTAGCCACTGGGCCACCGGGGAATTCCTTTTTTTGTTGGTTTATTTTTTTATCATAAAGTTATAGACTTACATATCTTTGAATCCCAGATGCCCCCATCATAGAATATTAGAAATCTAAGAATCTGGATCTTCACAACTTTGAAATTTGAAAACCATAGCTTTTCTTCCCCTTTAAATTGACAAATTCTTCTGGCCTGGAACCCCTCGGGATTTTCTCCAAGGATCCCCAGAAAGTCAGTGCTAATGCTGGGGAAGAGCCCCCACCCTTGCCACGGCAGCCCCATCTGTCTGATGATAGCGAATCTTAGCCGCTGGACCACCAGACAAGTCCCAGGATTTTATTTCGAATTTGTAATAATATCTTTTAAAATTTTTATCTTATTGAAGTACATTTCATTTACATGTTGTGTTTATATCTATTGTACAACAAAGTGATTCAGTTACACATATGTATACATTAATATATTCTTTTTCCTATTTTTTCCATTGGTTTATTTATAGGGTATTAAATATAGCTCTGGTACTATACAGTAGGTAATAAACTTTTTGATGGTCAAATTGTTCTGAAATAGGCCACTAGGAATCCTGCGTTCTGGCTCCTGTGTCTTTTGACGTAACTCCAATAGTCTTTAAGAGCTTCCTGGCTTTATGTCCTAACAAATATTCCAGAAAATGCTTCAGATTATTTATACTTGCTTACTAATCGGTGAGTTCTTTTCCTCTTAGTTCAGGGCAGCCACAGCTGCTAGACAGTGAGGGAGGGACTCCTGAATTGCTTCAGAAAGATGTACCTGAAGACTCCCTGACAAGAGAAGGTACTTTTTTGTATTGTTAGGTTGTGTTTGCTATTGTTTAGTTACTAAGTCAAGCCCGACTCTTTGCAACCCGGTGGACTGTAGCCTGCCAGACCCCTCTGTCCATGAGGTTTCCCAGGCAAGATACTGGAGTGGGTTGTCATTTCCTTCTCCATCAGATTGCATTAGTTCTAAGTACATGTTATTCTCATCATCTTGGCATCTGGGAACCTGTACAGAAGCAGAACTTTTGTATTTTGGGGAGCCGCTTCCTTCAACTAGAAGAAAACCTCTTTCTCACTTCATCTTTGGATCCAACTTATGCCCTTAGATCTTCCCTTTCTGTAGTTAATGCTTTTGAAAACAGCACTTCCAGAGCCCTTTTTTCTTTTTTAAATTAATTTATTAATTTGGCTGTGTGGGGTCTTAGCTGTGGCACATGGCATTTTTGATCTTCATTGTGGCCTGCATGATCTTTAGTTGTGGCATGTGGGACCTAGTGCCTGACCAGGGATCAAACCTTGGCCCCGTGCATTGAGAGGGCAGAATCTTAGCCACTGGACCACGAAGGCAGTGCCCCCAGAGCTACTTTTGCTCTCCCCCACCCCCAGGTCGTTAGCACAGGGTCAGCTTCCAAAAGGAGGAAGGACCAAAAAAAAGAGAAAAGCAAACCTTCTTCACCCCTCTCCTACCTTTTCTTGTTATGTTTCTACAGAGGCTTCTGTTTCAAAGTTTGAAAGGCACGCCCTTTGTTTATAAAGAAAAGTTACTTATAAAACTTTGTCAAGTTAAAATGTAATGCACAAGCCATGCAATTGACCCATTCAAAGTGTACATAACAAAAAAAATGTAGATGAAGAGAAAAAGTGTACATAACAATGATTTTTAGTACACTCACAGAGTTGGGTAACCATCGGTTTGATTTAGAACTTTCATTACCCCCAAAAGAAAGTGTATCAGCAGTCACTTCCCTCCCCCGCCCCCAGCAGCTGCAAATCTGCTTTCTGTTTCTATAGATTTGCTTATTCTGGATATTTCATTTAAATAGAATGGGGCCTGTGTAACCTCTTGTGTCTGACTCCTGACACTCAGCATGATGTTTTCAAGTTCATCCACGTTACTACATGTGTCAGTGCATCATTCCTTTTTTTTTTTTTCATTTATTTTTATTAGTTGGAGGCTAATTACTTTACATCATTGCAGTGGGTTTTGTCATACATTGAAATGAATTAGCCATGGTTTTACATGTATTCCCCATCCCGGTTCCCCCTCCCACCTCCCTCTCCACCCGATCCCTCTGGGTCTTCCCAGTGCACCAGGCCCGAGCACTTGTCTCATGCACCCAACCTGGGCTGGTGATCTGTTTCACCCTAGATAATATACGTGTTTCGATGCTGTTCTCTTGAAACATCCCACCCTCGCCTTCTCCCAGAGTCCACAAGTCTGTTCTATATATCGGAGTCTCTTTTTCTGTTTTGCATATAGGGTTATCGTTACCATCTTTCTAAATTCCATATATATGTGTTAGTATACTGTAATGGTCTTTGTCTTTCTGGCTTACTTCGCTCTGTATAATGGGCTCCAGTTTCATCCATCTCATTAGAACTGATTCAAATGAATTCTTTTGCATCATTCCTTTTTTGTGGCAGAATAACATTCCACTGGGCGGCTGGATCACGTTTTATCCATTCATCTGCTGATGAAACACTTGGGTTGTTTCTACCTTATGGGTGCTGTGTCTCCGCTGCTGTGAATATTTGTGTACAAGTTTCTGTGTGAACATAGACTTCCATTGCTCTCAGATGTATATACCTAGACATAGAATTGCTGGGTCATAGTGTGATTCTATGGAAAATAGATGGGGAAACAATGGAAACAGTGACAGACTTTATTTTATTGGGCTCCAAAATCACTGCAGAAGGTGACTGCAGCCATGAAATTAAAAGACGCTTGCTTCTTGGAGGAAAAGCTATGACAAACCTAGACTGCATATTAAAAGGCAGAGATATTACTTTGCCAACAAAGATCTGTATAGTCAAAGCTATGGTTTTTCCAGAAGTCATGTATGGATGTGAGCATTGGACCATAAAGAAGGCTGAGCACCAAAGAATTGATGCTTTTGAACTGTGGTGTTGGAGAAGACTCTTGAGAGTCCCTTGGACTGCAAGGAGATCCAACCAGTCAGTCCTAAAGGAAATCAACCCTGATTATTCATTAGATGGACTCATGCTGAAGCTGAAGCCTCAATACTTTGGCCACATGATGCAAAGAGCCAATTCATTGGAAAAGACCCTGATGCTGGGAAAGGTTGAAGGCAGGAAGAGAAGGGGACAATAGAGGATAAGATGGTTGGATGGCATCACTGACTCAATGGACATGAGTTTGAGCAAACTCTGGGAGATGGTGAAGGACAGGGCACGCTGGGCATGCTGGCAGCCTGGCACACTGCAGTCCATGGGATTGCAAAAAGTCAGACACCACTGAGCAACTGAACAACAGCGTGTAATTCTATGTTTAGCTTCTTGGAAAACTGCCAGACTATTTTCCACTGTGTCTCCATTATTTTTACAATGCCACCAGTACTGACTGAGAATTCTGTTTCTTCACATCCTCACCAACACTTGTCCCTTCTTCTTTGTTTTATTTATGGCCATTCTGTATCATTCTGAGGTGATATCTTATCATGGTTTTTATTTGCATTTCCTGATGTCTAAAGATGGTGAATATTTTTTGATGTATTGGTTGACATTTTGTATGTCTTCTCCGGAACAATGTCTATTCAGATGCTTGGTCTGTTCTGCAATTGGCTTGCTTTTTATTATTAATTTCTAAAGAGTTTGCTTTTATATATTCTGGTTACTAGTCTCATCATCAGACAGATGATTTGCAAGTATTTTTCCCATCTATGAGTTTTTTCCCCCTTTCTTGATGTTGTCCCCTGAGGCACAAAAGTTTGTAATCTTGGTGAAGTCCTATGTAGCTGTTTTCTCTTTGGCTCCTTGTGCTTTTAATATCATACCTAAGAAAACATTGCTGGGACTTCCCTGGTGGTCCAGTGGCTAAGACTCCAAGTTCCCAATGCAGGGGGCCTGGATTCAATCCCTAGTAGGGGAACTAGATCCCACATGCTGCTACTAAAAAACCGACATGATCCCACATGATGCACCTAAGACCCGGAACAGCCAAATGAGTAAGTATTTTTTAAAAAGAAAAGGAGAGAATGTACTGCCAAGTTCAAACTCAGGCAGAGTTAACACCTAAGTTTTCTTCTGTGGAATTTTTTAGTTTATGCCCTTACATTTAGGTCTTCGATATGTTTTGAGCTAATTTTTGTATATGGTGTGAGTTAGAAGTGAAGTGAAGTGAAGTCGCTCAGTCATGTCTGACTCTTTGTGACCCCATGGACTGTAGCCTACCAGGCTCCTCCCTCCATGGGATTCTCCAGGCAAGAATACTGGAGTGGGTTGCCATTTCCTTCTCCAGGGGATCTTCCTGACTCAGGGATCAAACCCAGGTCTCCTGCACTGCAGGCAGACGCTTTAACCTCTGAGCCACCAGGGTGTGAGTTAGGGGTCCAAATTTATTCCTTAGTATGTACCAGTCCAGTTGTGCCAGCACCATTTGTTGAAAAGAATCATCTTTTCCATGAAATAATCTTGTCACCTGTATTAGCTTGCTAGGACTGTCTTAACAAAGTACCACAAATCAGGTGGCTTAAATAACAGAAGTTTATTTTCACAAAGCACAGGATCAAGACATTAGCAGAATTGTTTCCTTCTAGGGCTTCCCAAGCAGCTCAAAAGGTAAAGAATCTGCCTGCAATGCGGGAGACCTAGGTTCAATCCCTGGATTGGGAAGATCCCCTGGGGAAGGACATGGCAACCCGCTCCAGTATTCTTGCCTGGAGAATTCCATGGACAGAGGAGCCTGGTGGGCTACAGTCCACGGGGTCACAAAGAGTTGGACCCGACTTGAGTGACTAACTCACAGGACCATCAGGGAAGGAGCCGTTCCATGCCTCTCTCCTGGGCTTGCAGATGGCGGCCTTCTCCCCGTGTCTTCAGGTCACGTCTGTGCGTGTCTGGGTGCCAGATTTCCTCTTATAGGAACTGCAGTCACTGTGGATTAAGGCCCACCCAATGACCTCATCTTAATTTAACCTCCCCTTTAAAGATCCTCTCCAAAAAGATTTACATTCTGAGGTCCTGAGGATTACGACTTTGACATGGAAATCTGGGGTAGGGGACAACAATCCAGCCCATACTAGCATCCATGTTGAAAAGCTTTTTTTTTTTTTAAGATATTTACTTCTTTATTTTATGGCCAGGCTGGGTTTTGGTGCTGCACGCAGGCTTTCTCGAGTTGCAGAGCTTTCCCTTGTTGCAGAGTACAGGCTCCGGGCACGCAGGCTTCAGTGGTTGTGGCACGCAGGCTTCATTGTCCCTTGGTATTTGGGATCTTCCAGGGATTGAACCCATTTCCCTTGCATTGGCAGCCGAATTCTTTACCACTGAGCCACCAGGGAAGCCCTTAAACATCTATTTTTGACTGGCTGTAAATGTTTACAAGATTCCTTCAGGTTATACAATGCATCAGTGTATAAATTATTCCTTTTTATTGCCGAATAGTATTAATCATAAAACTTTTTTTTTTCCCCTAGTTGACTAGAATGCATAGGGGAAAGGGTGGGATTTTTTTAACCTTTTTTTTTTTGAATGAGAGGTTCTTTAAATTTTATAATGTTTTACAATTTTCAAAAGTTTCACACACATGATTTCATATAATCCTATAATAACCCATTTAAAAAAAAATTCCAGCTCTGTACTGGTCTTTCCCTCTTCCTTGTCCTCACTGGTAACCTCTAGTTTGCTCTCGGTATCTGTGAGTCTGCTTTTGTTTTGTTATATTCACTAGTTTGTCATATTTTTTAGATTCTGACTATCAGTGATACAATACAGTGTTGGTCTTTGTCACGGATGCCCTTCAAGTCCATCTGTGTTGGTACATATGGCAAAAGTTCATTCTTTTTTATGACTGAGTCGTATTCCATTCTTCATAATTGTAACAACTTTCGAAGCTCAGACCAGCATCCCCTGTAAAGAGGCTACTGTCCTTGTGAACTGTGCCAACACAGATCACCTGGTTGACAGATCTGGGTCCCCCGTCGCAAGGGTCTGGGCAGGCCTGGGGGCGGGGGGTCCCACAGGTGCTGGGCACCGACCTCTGTCTTGCGTCCCATTCCGGTAGGTGATTTACATGAACAACCAGCGATACATGGCTGCCATCATCTTGAGCGAGAAACAGTGCCAAGAGCACCTCAAGGAAGCTAACAAGAGCTGCGATGGTGAGTGGGTGAGGGTTAGTCGGGGTCACGGGCCGTGGAGAGCAAGGTGGCAAGATTCCCCACCCAGTCTCTTGGCAACTCCCCCCCTTCCTGAGTCTTCTGGTCCTATACCCCTAGCTTTGGCCCTCACGCTGACCCAGAAAGCCAAGACACTGGAGGTGGAGCTGGCAAAGGAGAAGTTGGTGTGTACCAAAGACAAGGACGGTCTGACAGTGGGCAAGCGAGTGGTAGAAGAACAGTTGGCCGAGTGCGGCAAAACCCGCGACCAGCAACAGCAGGAACGGCTGCTGGCTGAGGACCGGCTGCGGAAGGTGCAGACCTTCTGCCTCCCCCTGGACAAGAACAAGTTTGAGACGGACCTGCGAAACCTCTGGAGGGACTCCATCATCCCGCGCACCCTCAGTACCCTGAGCTTCAACTTGTACCATCCCCTCGGCTCGGAACTGCCTTCCATCCAGAGGGCCTGCGACAGCCTGCCCTCCATCATGACCTCCAAGGTGGAAGAGCTGGCCCGGAGCTTGCGGGCTGGCATCGACAGCGTGACCCTCGAGAACGAGAAACTCCAGCGCCAGAAACTGGAGGTCGAGCAGAGCCTGCGTGCCAGTCAGGAGGCCAAGGAGAAGGTGGAGAAGGAGGCGCAGGCCCAGGCTGTCAAGCTCCAAACTGAATGTGCCCGCCAGACCCAGCTGGCCCTGGAGGAGAAGGTGGCGCTGCAGAAGGAACGGGACAGGCTGGCCAAGGAGCTGGAGGAGAAGAAGCGGGAGGTTGAGCACCTCAAGTTGCAGCTGGCAGTCAGCAACTCAGCCCTGGACACCTGTATCAAGACGAAGGTGCGCAGGGGGCCCTAGATTCAGGTTGCATTGGAGGGACGGGTCTGCAGGCCGAGTTGATGGTGATGTTGAACTTGGGTTTGAACTTGGCTTTTTTTTTTTTTAACTTCTTTTTGAGGTTGGCTTCCCACTGTAGATTGGTTTTGTTAGGACTCACTTGAGAGTTTCACTGATGTTAGGATTGAGGCAGAGCTTAAAATTTGTATCAGCACTGAGAAAGGGGATGGGGTTAAGACTGGACTTGGAGGTAGGGTGTCCATCAGGTCCAGGGTTGAATGAGGGGTGAATCTAGAACTGTGATTCCTTTGGGACTGGGGTGAGTTGAGACATTGAGGGTGGATTTAGAGTTGAGGCTGGGATCACACATGGGTGCCCATGAGTCTAGAATGGCCTTAGGATTATGATCATGTATTGACACAGGATTTTATTGGCATTAGGACTGCAGTGGGGTTTGGATTGGGAATGATATTAAGAAAGAGATAAGGATTGGAGTTGAGTTTAGGACGGCGGTGGGCCTCAAAATTGGCTTAGCGTTAGAATTAGGGACTCATTCAGTGTTGATGTCAGGGTCAGGATGGATTTGAGTTGAGTTGAAGGATCAGAGGGCGCTGGATTAAGGATTGGAAGTGACCCTGAGGTCAGCATGAGGGTTAAGGCAGGTCACAGGAAAGGCTTGATGTGGGTGCTAAACTTGTGTTTAGAGTTGGGTCAAGGTGAATTATTGGTGACTCCTGGGTCTAGAGCTGGTTTCGGTTAAGGTAAGGGTTTCAAGTAGGATTTCGTTAGTCTTAGAATTAGGTTGAGTTTGGAATATGGATTGTGAGGAAAGGTTAAAAGTTGGGTCAGGGTCAGAGGTTGCATGCAGTGTGGTTATTGTATCTAGGTCAAGTGAAAAGCGAATCAAGGATTTCAGTGGTTTTGGAATTGCATTGAGTTAAAGCTGGAGTTGAGGCTTAGGTTACTATAGGCGGTTGGTGGGGCTAGAGATGCTTAGAAGTTTGGGGCTAAGGGTAGATTCAGCACTTCATGGGCATTAAGATTGGGGTTGGGATTGATCATGGGTTAGGAGTTGAGACTAAGTTGAGTTTAGGGTGGTTGGTTGGGGTTGAGTTGGGTTGGCGTTGGGATATATTTGAAGGGAAAGATTAGGTGATCCTGAGTTAGAGCAGGGATGTACCAGAGTTCTGGTGAGGGTCAGGGTTGGGTCTCGTGTAGAAGCTGGGTGGATATTGATCTCGGACTGAGGTTGGTTAGAATTCTAGCTCAGGTAGAGACTGAGGTCTAAGGTTGAGTTGGGGTTGAGTGTGGTATTGGGAAAGTATTTATGGGTGGTCATAGGGGAATATAGGACTGGGGCTCAGGGAATGAAGTTGTGGAGTAGATTTTTCACAGTGCCTGGGACTAGGGGATGGGTTATGGTCAGGGTTAGATGTAAAGTAATAGATCAGATTTGTCATTGAGATTGGATTTGATTCTAAGGGAGGTTCTGACAGGTTAGGATCCAATTTTAGGTAATTGAGTTCAGAACTGGTTTTTAATTTCAGGCTTGTAGGAATTCATTTAGGGTTGTTTGAGGGATGGCCTTGAGGATGGAAGTCCAATTGGTTTGCAGAGCGGATCAACTTCAGTCTGGAACAGGGCTGGATTGGCTGGATAGACTCGACTGGGGCCACGGATTGTAGTCAGGTTGGCACTGAGGCTGTAGTGGAGACCGAGGCAGGATCCCTGCAGAATGGGGTCTCTGGGGGGTTGCCAAGGGGAAGTCAGTGCCTGGACCTCCCAGTCATTTCAGGGCAGATGCCTGCAGGTGATTATATAGCCATCATCGTATGTGTCCTTCTTCCATGGGTATCTGTTGGTTTCTCTGCCCTGGAAGGAACTCAGGTCTCTAAGGGTGTAGAAAAGCAGGAAACTCCCTAGGACTTGTGTTTGAGGGCGCTGGCCTCCACCAACCTCCCTTCACTCTTCTTTCCACAGTCGCAGTTGACGCAGTTGACGATTCCTGGGCCAAGACCCGTGGCCCCTGCCCCCAACCCTCCACCTATTGGTGAGTGACAGAGGGCAGGGCCAAGATGGGGGGGCGGATTCCACCTTGTATCCCGGGTTGCCAGCCCATCCCTGGCCCTGGAGGCAGGGCTACTAAGGCCCCCAGTTAGCCATGACCCCTCCCTCTTTCGGCAGACCAAGCTAGCCTGGAGGAATTCAAGAGAAGGATCCTGGATTCCCAGCGGGCCCCTGCCAGCAACGTCTTGGTCTCAGCCAGGTGAGGCTCTGGACTGTCTCAGGCCGACGGTGCAGTCTCAAGGTTTGAACAAGGCTGGGTACAGAACTGGGGTAGGGGGGAGCTCATATCACACTGTTTGTTCCTTAATTGAGCGCTTGCTGTATATACCAGGCCCTGTGCTGGCACCTTTGGCTTCCCTGCTGGCTCAGATAGTAAAGAATCTGCCTGCAATGCGGGAGACTCAGGTTCAATTCCTGGGTCGGGCAGATCCCTTGGAGAAGGGAATGGCAAGCCACTCCAGTATTCTTGCCTGGAGAATCTCATGGACAGAAGAGCCTGGTGGGCTACAGTCCATGGGGTTGCAAAGAGTCGGACACGACTGAGTGACCCACACTTCATGCTGGGCCCAGGGTCAGAGCCGTGACCAAGACACATACAGTTTCATTCATGAAAGTCTCTGAATAATGGGCCAGAGAGACAATGAAGGAGGCAGGGTAAAAAAATGACCAAAAACATGCCGTGATTGGGTGCTGACTGCAATCTTGGCATAGTCCTAAGCACTCTGTCCATTTAACTCGTTTAATCTTCAGAATCTTAACCCATGGGTGAGCTACTGTTACCCCATTCTGGAGGAAGCAAATGAGGCATGGGGGTGGGGGTGTGCGTCATGCCCCAGGTAACACAGCTGGGACGTGAACCTAGGCGATCAGACTCCAGACAGGCAAGGGAGAGCCTCGGTGAGGGAGGGATCTTTGAGCTGGAAGACGGACAGGAGCCGACCTGGGGGACAGCAAGGGGGACAGTCCCTGCAGGTGGCAAGAACTGCCGGAGCAAAGACGAGGGTAGCAGAAGTGAACGTAGCCAAGGAAGGGTTGGAGGGAGAGCAGGGTCTGAGGGTGACCCTGGGCCTCTCCCTCCACCCTCTGAGCCACACTTTCTAACTCCACAGAAATGTTGGGGGGGGTGAGGGTCCCTGAAATCATCTTCCCAGATGTTGCAGTGGTAATGAGCCTGCCTGCCAATGCAGGAGATGCAAGAGATATGGGTTCCGTCTCTGGGTGGGGAAGATACCGTGGAGGAGGAGATGGTAACCCACTCCAGTATTCTTGTCTGGAAAATTCCATGGACAGAGGGGCCTGGCTGGCTATAGTTCGTGGGGTCACAGAAGAGTCGGACATGACTGAGCAACTGAGCATGCACACACACACTCTGAGATTCAGGGCAAGAAAATACTGTGCTGGCTGTAAAGTGCTGTCCACGACTGGCTGGAGCAAGGGACCCAGAGCCTCAGTAGGGAGCATCACGGGTGCCTGGCACATGACCAGGCCATAGCTCCATGCCTTTGCCCCCCTCCCCTCCTCCCCGAGCCCAGTCACCCTTTGGACGACAGCCTGTGCGTCACGGGGAAGGTGACTCAGGCCACGGCCCCTAGAATACCCTGTGCTCCCACTAGGAGTCAAGGATTGGCTTTCCATTTGCAGTTTATGACCTGAGGTTCAGGGAAGTGTGTGGAATTTTTTTCAGATCCCTCTGACCCCAAAGCCTGTGCTGTCCAAACTTTTGCTGTGCGGCTATCATCAAGCTAGATCTTATTTCAGCCCCAGGGTGCTAAACAAAGCCCATAGGATCCAAAGGACTTCCAAAAGTCTGTCACTAACTCCCCAGAGATCTCCAAACCCAGTTCCATCTTCACCATGTCTCTTCTTACATACTCCTCCTGACGGGGAACTCACCCCCCTTCAGAACGGGTCCCCTCACTCTTTGAATAGAGTTTGACCCTGCTTTTTGAACAAACAGAGCTTTCCTCTCTCCATCTTGGCCTGAAGCCATCATGGCAAGGAAGGAGGTTCTATTATTATCCCCATTTCTCAGAGGAGGGAACTGAGGCCCCAGGGAAGTGATCATCCCGGGGTCATGCGTCAGCAACTCCGGGTTGGAGCCAGGCTCACCATCCAAGCGTGTCTGGGTCCCAGCTGAGAATGGGGAAGCTCTTGACATTGTTTACCCCAAGTGACGCACCCCACCCCCTCCCCTCCGAGGAAACAATGTGTGCTTAAGCCTGGCCCCTCCTGCTTCTCTCTGCAGGATCGCAGGAAGAGCCTCTGGCCCACGGGCTCCGGCTTGACTTGCCTCCCTGTGAGAGAGGGGCCAGAGACGGGCAGGCTGGGGTCTTCAGCTCTGGGTTTGAGTCCCAGTTCATCCAGTCACTCACTGGACAAGTTGTGAATGACTGAACTGTAACATCTGATTTTTACAGGTACCCAAGAGGGAGGCTTCAAATCACCCATCCCATGGTGGGGACTGTTGGTTGCTTTTCCATTCTTTTTTTTTTTTTAATTTGTTAATTGTTTATTTATTGAGAGACTTTCTCACCCCAGATAGTCATAGTTTCATAGTTCAGGAACACAGGAAAGTGACAAACTTCCATGGAACTCAACCCAAGAAATCCTTTATATTCCAAATCACTTTGCACTCTGAAAAATACCAGCCTTCCTCATCTCCTCAAAATCTTTCATGGAATCATAATTCCTGTAGAAATCTGCATATGCCTTCTTTCTTCGTTCAGCCACAGCAAACTTATAGAAAGTTGCAAACCCAAGGGAGACCATGAACACTCCAACAATATGAAATCGCAGACGTTTGGCCAGGAGGCCACGCATCTGAGGTTTTGCCAGAGCAGTGGACATGGTAGTTCTCCTTCTCGGCGGCTCAACCGCAACGTCCTTCTAGGCTGATGGAGAAATGGGACCTGCTTTTCCACTCTTATTCCTTCTGGGTCTCCAGAAAATCTGTGCTGTTGCTAAGTCACACCCATGCATCCCAGATCCTTGCAGCTTGCCTGTGCTCACAGAGGGAGGGAACACCCAGGCCTCCGCCATGGCTGGGCTTGAGAACAAGGTCACGTTTTTTAACTGAACGTTGTTATGTGGTTTTCTATCAGTGCCAAAAAGTGCTGAAAGCCTTAGTTGCTCAGCTGTGTCTGCCTGTTTTTGCGACCCCATGGACTGTAGCCCACCAGGCTCCTCTGTCCATGGAATCCTCCATGTAAGAGTACTGGAGTGGGTTGCCATTCCCTGCTCCAGGGGATGGATCTTCCTGACCCAGGGCTCGAATCTGGGTCTCCTGAGTTGCAAGCAGATTCTTTTTTTTTTTTTAATTTTATATTTACTGGTTGTGCCAGGTCTTAGTGGTGGCATGCAAACTCTTACTTGCAGCATGTGGGATCTAGTTCCCTCACCAGGAATTGAACCCATGCCCCCCTGCATTTGGAGCGTGGAGTCTTAGCCACTGGACCACCAGGGAAGTCCCTCAAGCAGATTCTTTACCATCTGAGCCACCAAGGAAGCCGAATGTTCCAGCTTTCCTCTGCTTAGTAAGACTGCGCTTCCTTTGGAGACCAGTTTATATAATTTAAAAAAACACAGTGGAAGTGAAACAAACATTAAGTGAATGTTGGTTTCGTGGCTCTGTGGTTGAAGGTGGAGAAAGTCACAGTGTGTAAGGTTGAAGATGGAGCTTCAGCCCTGACTCTGAGCCAGGCAGACAGCAAGTGTCGATTCAAGTTCACTACCATCACTATGACCATTCGTTTTATCGTTCAACCCATATTTCTTGAGCAGCTGTTTGGTGCCAAGGACACAGGGAAGAATAAGGCACAGATATTCAAATTCCCACCCCCTGTATGACTGCCAGTCTAGTGGGGGAAACGGATAACAAACCAGATGAATGAGCTATGACAGGGCCCCTTGGTAATGAATGAGACAGAGAAGGGATGAGGGAGCTTGAAGAGGTTGGAATTTTCCACCAGGGGTAAGGGCGGGCTTCACTGAGGAGTGATATGTGACCAGAGAACTAAAAGTGAGGGAGGAACCAGGAGGAGATTCCTTGCAGGGTGCCAGGCAGTGAGGCAGCCTGTGCAAAGGTCCTGAGGCAGGACCATCCAAGCCTGGAGAGTTTGAGTGAGGAGTTAGGTGTGGCTGCAGTGGAGTGATGGAGCGGGGAGTGGGAGGAGGTGAGGCTGGGGTGATGGCAGGACAGACCAGGCAGGGCCTTGGGGCAGTGGTGAGGACTTTGGGAGCCCCGCGAGGGGCTGTGAGCAGCAGAGGACAGATCTGCCTCAGGTGTTGATTGCTGTTCTGCGGGCTGAAGGCAGGAACCTGGGACCAGGGTGAGGGCGACAGCCCTGGTCCAGGTGATCAGTGGGGCTTAGAAAATGGCCAGGGACGACCCTCCCTTGCAGGTTGGTGGGCAGGAATGGTTAAAGAATCTGATCTCTGTCGGGGCTGGCTCGAAGCCAGTGGATCCTGGTGAAGGACAGAGGCTGGAGCTGGTTGTGGGGGGGCAGGGGGAGGGGGGTTCGGAATCTACGAACGTGAGGCTGCGGGGGCCCCAGGGAAGAGCCGGGGAAGGAAGGGAGGGGGCCAGCGGAAGCAGGACTTGGCTGAGGCCCCCACCTCCCCCATCAGGAAACAGCCTCCGCGTCAACCTCTGACCCCTCACGGGAACCTTTGCCAGGCCAAGGAGGGGGAAGGGCATTCCAGACAGTGGGACGGCTCCGGCAGAGGCAAGGCGGAGGGGCAGTGTTGAAGGGATGGCTCTGAGAATTTGGGCCATGCTTGGACAGGTTTTGATTCCCTAGTGGGGAGGTCTGGGAGTTGGGGGCGGAGTGAGTGGAGCCTTGAATGCCAGATACAGAAGATTTGGCTTTAAAAAAAGCTGTCTTTGTCCTGAGGGTGCAGAGGAGCCAGGAAGCCTGTGAAAAGGGGCAGGCTCATTAGAGACACCTTCCTGGGAGTGAGTGAGGGGCCAGCTCTAGGTCAGTTCTGAATGGACTAAAGAGGGAAACTAAAGTCCTGCCTGGGGAGTCGGTGGTGGAGGGTGGAGGGGGGACTGGGGCGGCAGGGGCTTTGGGCAAACTCCCAGGATCCCAGGGCCTTAGGGAGCAAAGGGGAGAGTCAGACAGATGGCAGCAGAACCTGGAGGTGGCCTCTCGGAACCTCAGTCTCGTCAGCGGTGTAACGGACAGGCACACACCTCAGTCCC